TTTTGACTTGTTTTGGTCATTAATGTCATTTGCTATCATTTTTGTGTACCGTCGCACCATTTCAGCAAGAATCGCGCACCAAATGTCCTTGTTCCTATCCCATAGCTCTATCATTCCACTTGGAGCCACCTATAATTCGCAGGCTGCGATTTAAAATGACTCCATATATTTTCAATGATATTCATGTCTGAAGAATATTCAAGACACTCAAGGGACTTGAATCCTTGCCATATTGTCCACTTTTTTTACCAAATTAGACGTGTTCTTTGAGTCATTGTTCTTATAATGTTGCCCACACTGCAGCGCAGCCCAGTCGCTGCTTACTGCGCCGTTAGCAAAGTGCCCTCTAATACGTGCGTGTGTATGTATGTGTGCCGAAAAGAAGTGCAAAGTGATTAGAATATCAGATTAGAGGGTTCAGGGTATCTCCTAGTCGAGCAGTCTCGACTAGAGTCTTCTTACTTGTTCCAGCCAACAGAATGATTTCAAATTTTCAGGTAACACGGCAAAATATCATACTAACAACATAAAATTAAGATTTTAAACATCCATAGAGTAGAAGCAAAAATATAGACTCTTGAAGTTGCAACATTGAATTTGTGTTACAGCTTTGCTCGTCACTGTATTTGCACATATGTATGTACATATGTATATATTGTACATATGTACAAGAAATGGGATATTTATGTGAATCCAGTGTGTATGAAATTGCAGTGGAATAGCAAATAAATTTGCATGACCGGATTACAATGAGTGCGGACGTGAGTTTACTACAAAACGCAAAGGATATTGTGTATTATATATTAGTAAAACGTAAAAGAGTTGCTCATGCAAGCAAAGTAATTGAACAGATTATTAAGTGTCTAAATTTATAAGGATATAAGGCAAGTAATCGGCGAGAATTAGTACATACATATATATGTATGTATATACAAGGGAATATGGCGGATCAGAAGTGCCAGTGTATATATGTATGTACTATTTTACGGAAGTATGGGGTACTTATCTCGACGGCCGTTGGAATGCTGATTTGATGTGGATGAAGATCCAGCTGATTTACTTGCTCATGGCAAAGGTTGATGACACCACACGTCGTGAATGGTATGAAAAGAGTCAAGATATAGCAAATCCTATAATAACGCAGTTGCTCAAGTTCCTGGATGCACGTTGTGATCGACTGGAGCTCAGTCAATCTGCAACTACGATAAGCAGCAAGCCTAGACAGGACTGAGCTACCAGGAACGTACATGCGCTACTCGCCACTTCAGAGCGCTGTGCAAAGTGCAACAAGGAACACGCATTGATGGCATGTACACAGTTTTTGGATCTATCTATTCAGCAGCGATATGCCTTTGCAAAGTCCAAACACATGTGCTTTAATTGTTTGAGACTTTGTCATGGAGTGAGCGCTTGCACATCGAAGTCATCTTGTAACCAGTGCAAGCGCCAACATCACTCACTCTTCCACTTCGACCAACGTAATACTAAGGACAAAGGTAAGCCACAGGAACACCAGCAGGATGAGTCAAATGAGGCACCAGGGGAACACAATTGCTATTGATTCAATATTTGGATGGATCATCACGTCAGTGGGAGGAGCGTGTACAACTACAACTACGTCACTCTTAGCTACCATGGACATCAACGCATTGTTGCAACGGTTTTAGGAACTGGAAGAACTTCCATCGTTCACGTCTGCCAATACAGAAGATGAGTTAGTGGAGACTCATTTCTTCCAAACAGATTCCCGTAATGCCGAAGGTAGATACATAGTCGAGCTATCATTCAAGCAAGGGAACCCAGAGTTTGCAGACACCTATCATGGAGCCAAGTCTCGCTTCTTGGCAGTTGAACGTCGTTTAATGAAGGATGCAGCTTTACTATCGAAGTATGTGCAATTCATGAGGGAGTACATACAACTGGATCACATGAATGAGGTTGATGCAGAAGAAGACTCCACTTGGAAGAAGGTTTTCTACATGCCGCACCATCCGGTGCTATGGACAAAGCTGCGTGTGATATTTAATGGCTCATTTCAAGATCAAGATGGTCGGTCTCTAAACGATGCGCTTCATATTGGTCCATGATATGGTGAAGATGTTTAGACAAATTTTGGTTGCACCTAAACACCAGGACTTTCAACGAATATTATGGAGAGAACATCCGTCAGCACTATTGAAACACTTCAGACTCTGCACAGTTACATACGGGACTGCGTCTGCGCCATTCCTCGCAGTCCGGGTGTTAGAACAACTTGCTACCACGAGCATGAGTTTCCTAGAGCAGCTAAGATATTACTTCAGGATTTCTACGTGGACGATGTATAAACAGGAGCCATGACCGAGACAAACTTATAAACATTCAAACTGAGCTGGATCTCAAATGGCACACGACTAAGCAAGGTGATAGAGTCAACAGCAACATCGAAGGTATTAGGACTACACTGGGATCCTGGAGAAGACAACCTTGCATACAACATTGTATTATCGGAGACTGCAAGCTGTATAAAGTGACAAGTGCTATCCGTGTAGCATACATTTTTGATCCTCTGGGCATTTTGGCGCCAATGGTAGTCCAATTCAAGATTCTACTGCAAGAACTTTGATTGCTTGATTTGGATTGTGACTCTGAACTTCCGATGAAACAGGCGCACTCTTGGCAGATGTATCGCAAGGAAATTTCGTCGCTACAACAGCTCAAGATACCCCGCTTCATAGAGACATGGATCACATCGAGTTACATGCATTCTCAGACGCTTCGCTTAAGGCATACTCTGCGGTCGTCTACAGCAGAGTTGAGTATAGTGATGGCTCTATAGGAGTATATCTTGTTGCTGCTAAGACTCGCGTCGCACCTTTAAAACTAGCAACGCTGCCACGCCTCGAACTGTGGAGCTCTACTCCTGACTAGACTTGCTAAGGCAATTCAAGCTAGTTTGGGCAAGAAGGAAGTGAAGGTATATGCATGGTGCGATTCTACAATCGTGTTGTCCTGGCTGTCCAATCAACCCTGTAAATTGAAGATGTTCGTAGCCAATCGTACGGCAGAAATACTCGAGACAATCCCACGGGACGCTTGGAGGCATGTGAGTACCAAGGAAAATCCTGCAGATTGTGCATCCCGAGGAATGCTTGCCGGTGACCTTCTTAAATTTGACTTATGGTGGAAGGGACCGTCCTGGCTACATGAAGAAGCGGAATTCAAGGCCAATATTCTGACGGCAACGGAGGACATGGCATCGTCCCCCTTTGATGCTTTACTTATTAGAGTATCATCATGGCTGCGACTGATTCGAATCATCGCATACATCTGGCGCTTTGTATATCGCGTCCGATCAAGGAACTCACTTCATTCAGCAGCCTTGACGTTCTATGAAATTGACGCAGCACGAAAGTTTTGTCTAGGGCATGCACGAAACGCATTTGATGTTGATCGGCAGCGCTTGTTGAAGTAGCAACCGCTGCAGCACCGTTTCAAGTTGAGCAAGCTAGCTCCATTTGTTGACCAGGTTGGCCTTATTCGAGTTGGAGGACGCTTAGGGAACTCTTACCTATCTAGGGATGCCAAACACCCAATTGTACTACCTAACCATCATCGACTAGTTGAGCTATTACTGAAGCATGAGCATCAGTTCAACCTTCGTCCTGGGGTTTTGGCAATGTTTGCTATAATTCGTCAGAAGTACAGGATACTTGGATCCAGAAACCTCATCCGACGAATCACGCACGGATGCCTAAACTGTTTCAAGCAGCGTCATCATACTACACAACAGCTTATGGCTAGCTTACCTGCCACTGCTTCTATTTGTGTAAGCAGAGTGCGCATCTGTTCAAAGGTAATTACTGTGTTTCCGATCACTCGCCGCAAATGTAGCTTCACGGAACTTACAGCAAGAAAACCATGTCGAGTTGCAAAAATGTTGCAATATAATAATTTCTTATTACCCCTATAATTAGAAACTTCAGATCTTCCACTTTTTTATACTCATTCACGAAAGTGAATTGGTATATTGGTTTTGTGCAATGTCCGTCCGTTTGTCCGTATGAACGCCGTTTATTTCGGCGCTATTGAAGCTAGAGACTTAAAAGTTGGAACACATACTCGTGTACATCTCCGGTTTATAAAGTGTTAACATTTTTTCGATCCGCCCACTAGCTGAAATTTTGAATGTAGATCCGCATCGATCACCCAAGATCACAAGCGGATATATATACGCCCATTGGAGGCGTGGCAAATCGGATAACACTATCTCTACGAGGTGTTATAAAGGTGAGGGTGAGAGGGTAAATATAGGGGTGGAGGATAAATTACAGCAAAAACAGAAATTATATGAAATAAATATAAGTCTACATTTAAAATTTGGAAGCTCTAGCTTTAATGGCGTAGGATGTAATTAAATAACTAGTTTTCGAAAGGGTTTTTAATCGATAATAAAATATCGGGAGTAGTTATCGATATTTAGAGAAAAACTCGACGCCTCCTCATGCCTGTTATATACTTTTAACAAAACTATTATACCCTAATTTCCCATTTTCAATGAGTTCAGGGTATACAAATTATATGTCTACGCCCATGTAAGTTTCATTAAATTCCGTTAAGTCAATCGACGTTAAAAAATAAAAAGTTTTGCCAATTAACAAACTCACGTGCAGTAGCTACAACAGTTTTATTATACGTGTGCACACATACATTCCAACTTTATCTAGTACATACTAGAGTCACATCAGCAGTTAGTGTGGTTTAGTTCTGCTAGATGGCGCTGCAGCAGTTAAAGTATTTCAGTCTTGCCTCCAACGTTTGTGTGAGGTGAGGTGGCGTTGAGATTGATGTTAATTTTTTTAATTGTTTCAAAATATTTATATATTTATTTTCTATTTCTCTTATATCTTTAAATACATCGAAATGAAAATTTTAATCATTCTAAATGTGCGTTTTTATACCCTGAACCCATTTTTAATGGGAAATCAGCGTATAATGGTTTTGTTGAAATGTATGTAACAGGCAAATCGAGCTTATCACTAAAAATCTATAAAAATCGAAAATCAGTTATAAAATTATATCTCCTACATCTGTGGAGTTACAGTCTCCTCCCGATCTCCTCCCAATGTAGTAATGTAATGAGGTCTCGAGCAAAATCGACATCTTTGAGTAAAGGGACTTGCATGCCTGGTGGCCCTTACCAAGAGAGTTTAGGCACAGACCATGTCGTTTTGCTGCTTCATAGCGCTCTACAACCGGCATCTCCTGTAGTCGACTGCCGTGAAACTCGATGCTCTAAGACAAAGAGGACATGAGTGAGTTGAACAATTAAAAGACAAACCATGTCGCGTGGCTACCTGGCTTCGTAATTTGCTAGTAGTCGCAGTTTGAGCCTGCCTCGATTCGGACTTACCGCATGATTCCAAATATTGGCAAAGCCTCTCAACGACCTGTACACACAAATCCCAGGAAACTGCGAATAATCCAATGATTCGTTCCATTTGCACTTGGTTTCCATGTCCATCTTATCCACAACAATAGCTATTAACATTGCCTGTGCGATTTGTGACTCGTTGCCTAGTGATTTTAGCGTGTTGTACAGTGCTGTAGAGTTGTCAATCAAACTTCGAATTTTGCTTTCTTACTTGTTATTTTAGGAAGAGAGAGCTCTAAGGAAAAAACGTGATATTTATTTAAATTAACACAAAGAACATGAAACGCATTGTGCAAAGAATAATCACTAGTGCCCACAGGTAAATAAAGCGAACGATAATGTCTAGTTGCTCGGGACGGAACCGAAAAATTTTGACGACCCAACAAAGAGAACAAACCAATATCACCACTAATCAATTTATGCAGAAAAACAATTCCTAAAATTGTTCTGCGATTGGTTAGCGATGGAAGATCAACAAGACGGTAATCGTAAATTACTGTCCCATCTAAGATCTCCTAAGGCAAAGAGAAGAAATTGTTTTTGGACCGATTCGATATGATCCTGATACAGTTTATGCTGTGGAGACCATACAACAGAGAAATACTCTAAGATACGACGCACAAGCGAAGTGAATAAGCGCTTGGTAGTAAAAGGATCGTTAAATTCCTTAGACCAACGTTTTATTATCGATCAAAAACCTTATCGAAAGCTAGTTATTTAATTATATCTCCTACACCTTTAGAGCTAGAGCTTTCAAATTTTAATTGTACACTTATACATATGTATTTTATATAATTTCGATTTTTGTTGGAATTTACCCCCCACTCTTATATCCACTCCATCACTCTCACCTTTGTAAAAGGCTTATTTAAAGTACTAGAGACTTGTGCTTTGGAATGTACATACATTTGAATTGAAATTCGATCAGTCTCGACTAGAGTCTTCTTACTTGTCATTAGTTTGGTTAAACTAGCAGATTTTTAGAATCACATCAGCAGTTAAAGTGGTAGTTTCTTTTTTGCTAAAATGCAAAATGTTTATAGAGAAAACAAGTAAGAGTCCTCTAGTCGAGACTGTTCGACTAGGAGATACCCTGAACCCTGCCAGCTGATATTCTAATCATTCTGCACTTCTTTTATATACACATACAAAATGTGTATATCACAAAGCACAAGGCTTTAGTATTTGAAATACGTTTTTTTGCAATCGGAATGAAGGGGGCGTGGTATAAAAAATATATATATTAAATTCCAAAGCACAAGTCTCTAGTACTTGAAATGTTTTTTTTTTAACAGATTGGGGGTGTGATATCCTAAATTTGTATATTACAAAACAGTGATTGAAAATGCTATGCTACAACGGAGTATTTTTTCTTGCTCTCGCTATTGCTCTGATTTCGAACGGCTACGTAGCATAGCAGAGAGCACAAAAACAAAACGAATGCTATTCTGCTCTGCTCCATAGCTTAAAACATCGGAGCAAAGAGCAATGGCAAAAGCAAAAAACTTGCGTTCCGTTATTTGTAGTTGTAGCAATAGCACAAGCATTGAAAGCGAGATGAGAGCAGAGCAAATGGAAAACATTTTTTTTTTGTTTCTGCTACGGAGCATTTGCATTGTTTTTCTCTTTTCCTTTTCTGTTGCTTTCGTAGTTGCTCTCGTAGCTGCTCTCATATTTGCATTTCGCACTTGAAAAAGGCCAGATCTGGCTAAGTTGGCAGCCCTGCTTCCATAGCAGCTCTGTTTGAATTTCGCTAAGTCTTTTTTACAAGCCACTATAGGAAAAAAGCCCGAAATTTTGGCATCAATTCTAAAAATAGAGCTAGGAGGTTTTACATACACCTAAGATAGACTATGTTAGAATTTCGAATTTTTTTTTTTAACGATTTGACCACGCCTTCTCCCATTAATGAAACCATGTGTACTTTAGACATAAATTTTTTAAATATATTATATATATCTTACATTCAGATAAAAATGAATGTATATAGCTTATTATATAATGAAAAAATTAAAATGTGTATTATCATTCCGTTTATACCCTGTAAAATTAAAAAAAATTAAAAAAAAAATGTATTTTTATTTTACAATAATTACCACATACTCAAAAAATTAACATCAATAATCATAATTTTCTTCATCCAATTCGATATTCGGGTCGAAATTGTTTGCATCATCCTCATCCTCATCTTCAGCTTCTAAACTTTCAGTTTCATTTGTATCATCTTGATGCGCGATTTGCGGAGGCTCAAGGCAGAAGGAATCATCGCAGACCCCATAAAGTATATATATTCTTGATCAGGACGACGAGCTGAGTCGATATAGCCCTGTCCGTCTGTCCGTCCGTCCGTCCGTCCGTCCTTCCGTATGAGCAAAAGGATCTCAGAAGATATGAGCTAGAGAGCTGAAATTTGGCATGCATACTCGTGTATACCATAGGCAGTACAAGTTTGCTTTATTTTTTCGATAACTCGTCCGATAACTTTTTTATCGAGAATAATCGATACAAAGATTTTGTAATTTACAGATTTTGGATACCACGCCCCCTTCGCCCCCAATTTGTAAAAAACGCATTTCAAGTACTAGAGACTTGTGCTTTGGAATGGACACACATATATGATTACGCTCTAAAAGTTTCATTAGGATCGTATGTCTACAAAAGAAATTATTTAACAAATAAATTCTCACAATATTGCCCACACTGCAGTGCAGCCCAAGCGCAGCCGCTGCTAGCTGCGCAGTTTGCAGAGCGCTTGCTTATACGTGCATGTGTATGTATGTGTGCATAAAAGAAGTCCAGAATGATTAGAATATCAGTTTGGAGGGTTCAGGGTATCTCCTAGTCGAGCAGTCTCGACTGGAGCCTTCTTACTTGTTTTAAGATAGAGACTTGACAAAAGCGGATCAGATGAATCTAATGCCCTGTGAAAAACATCAGTGATGTTGTTTAGCCTACTGCTCTTTCTGGCATGTGACCTTCTGTCATTTTTATAAATTTTGTTTCGAGCTTCTGATGCGTTTTCTCCGATAACACCAACAGGAACTATACAGCTATCCATTATTTGGTATCCATGGATCAAAACTTTGTGCACAGTTGGGGACATGGGATACCAAGAATAGTTATTCATATAGATTTCAAATGTACGGACGCAGAAAGCTCTAAATTTATCGCTATTTATATAATGTTCGGAGGAGATAGAAATTAATATTATATGAAAGTTCCAGATAACTTCATAATGCAAAACGAATGCCATATCATTTTCTTTGCATTTTTTTGCTGAAACCGATGCGGCCTGTATAAACAGTTAGGTTGTGTGTTCTTCTTGACTTGCAAGATCAGAAGCTAATTTTCTCTTCAGCCGACTGACTGCTTCTTCATAAGTAAGTTCTTTACGGCCAGCTTTATCTTGCGAGGACTTAATTTTTTCGAAATGGAGCAAAAAGGAGCAAAAACGGTTAAAAGTCTCTAATAATAGAGGTTTCAGACAACACGTTTGCAATTAAACTTCATCACTACTTTCCTCTATTTGTAAGTTATGTTCCACGAAACACGAACTATTTTGTTATTTTTTAGCTAAAATACACAACAACAAAACATTGAACAATTAGACAAGTAAACAAATGTACTCAAAAATTTGAATTGATAATTTATAGTACATACCATCAGTAATGTTTTCCATTTTAAAAGTTATAAATTTTATTTTTATTTACCGCAGTACTAAACTTGAAAGTTGCACAATTTTTCCCGCGCTTTTTTTTTTGCATACAAAGCAACTCTGGGTCGGCTGACTTGCAGCCCAGCGTTATATAGTAGGGGCAGTCCATAAAATGTTTTAAAAATTCGTTTTATATTAGTTAAAATATTTATAATTGGAAAATAAAAAAAAAAATTAAAAATTGATAAAAAAAAAAAATTGTATTTATGCCAAAATTTCGGGTTTTTTTTTCCTATAGTGCAAGCGCATAATATTAATTGAGTTCTTGTGTAAATATGCCTCCTCGAAAAAACTCGTTTAATATTTTAAAATATTTTGAAGACGATGGGTCGTCATATGTGCAGTGCAAATCTTGTGATCGGGTTTTAAAGAAAGATCGTACATTTAATTTGAAAAAACATATTACTGGTGTGCACAAAATAAAAATAGATTATCAAGATAATGAGTCCTCTTGTTCAGAAAATATATCCCAACCCAGAAAAGAAACAATCAAAGTTAAAATAAACAAAAAACAGTTCATTCGTTCGTACATAGGACTGGTGACAGAACAAAGTGTACCTTTCAATGTTTTAAATTCGGAAAACATGAAAAACATAATAGATCCTATTTGACGGTCTTACAGAAAATAGCGGAAAAAGTTTTAAACTAAATGGCAGTAAATGCAAAAACATGCTAAAACATGTGGCTGAAAACATTCGCAGTGAAATGCAACGTGAAATGCACGGCCGATTACTGTCTTTAAAAATTGACAGCGCAACTCGGCTTAACCGTAATATTTTTGGAATTAGCGCGCAATTTATTAATGAAAATGAAATTATATCCCGGATATTAGGCTTGTCTGAAATTAAAGGCGCTAGTGGAAGTACATCTAAAAATCTGGCCAAAGAAATTATAGCCACTTTGGACAAGTACAATATCCGATTGAATCAAATAGTTTCAATTACATCAGACAATGGAGCTAATATGATTAAAACAACCAAAATTTTATCACATAGTTATATATCTGATGATGATTTTGAAGGCACGGAGGAAGTGGAAAAAACATAGACTACACTGAGAAAATTGATAATTTTACCCCAGAAGAATTGCATGTGGGTAATATACAAATATGCCGGTGTGCAGCACATACTGCACAACTTTGTGCACTTGACGTTTTAAAAAATACAGAAATTAAAAGCTATTTACTTCAATGTCGCAATATGACGAAATACATTCGTAAGTCATCAAATGGTTATCGTGAGGTATTTGATTTTTGTAAACTAATACTGCTTCAATTGGATTGCCCCACAAGATGGGGATCAACATATGAAATGATCGATCGACTGAACAAAGCAAAGGACGTGTTGTGCGACATTGAAGCAATCGAAAATAAAACGGATGATGAAAATTTCGACGCTAGCTCTATGTTGTGGGAGTTTATAGATTGCTACACCTGTATAATGAATCCACTGCAAAAAACTATTGTGAGATTCCAAGAAAAGCAATTGCACTACGGCAATTTTTACGCTTTGTGGCTCACATGTAAGCTGACTACAAATCAAATTTTATTATCCCGGTCAGACGGCGAAAATTCAATTAGTTTTAAAATTGGTAAAACCCTCATTGAAAGCATAGATACTCGATCGGAAAAACTTATATCGAATGTGGGATTTGATGCATGCCTATACTTAGATCCGAGGTTTCAACAAATTCTCAGAAAAAAATGCTGTACACTTCTTGAAGACTTTATGGGATAAAATTAAAACAAATAACCCAAAAGTTAATTCCTCAATAACTTCAATTAGTTCTATGATTCTTGAAAAAGGGCTGGAAAATCATGAGTTTGACTTGTTAGACACCTACTTGGGAGCTACAATATCGCCTACAGATGACTGCACGGATGTTTATACAAAAATCGAAACACTGAAGCTTCCTTACATGAAAGAAAATGTTAATGTATTGAACTTCTGGAGAGAAAGAAAGTCTACTGATCCTGAACTGTATCCACTGAGCAAAGTATGCTTCGCCATTCCGCCAACACAAGTAAGAATGATTGTTTTTGCTGCAAGGCATATGCTCACATATTTTTATTTTATTTATGTAGGTCACAATAGAACGCGCATTTTCATCATTAAAACTTGTACTGGCCGACAATAGGAATAGGTTAAACCACGACACTTTGGAAAATATTTTACTTGTGAAACTAAACTCATCCCATTTAGACGGTGCCATCGACAGCTTCCCTTCATTTGAAGACGAAGAAAACAATCAGAATTAGAAACACAAATTACTGCTTGTTTGAAATTTAATTTTTTTTAATATGCTTTAATCATATATATTTTATAGCACAATGTAAAAATAAATGAATTCTTATAATTTGAAATTAACGTCTTAAAGGGCAATATTTCGTACAGAGCTGCTATGGAAGCAGGGCTGCCAACTTAGCCAGATCTGGCCATTTTCAAGTGCGAAATGCAAATATGAGAGCAGCTACGAGAGCAACTACGAAAGCAACAGAAAAGGAAAAGAGAAAAACAATGGAAATGCTCCGTAGCAGAAACAAAAAAAAAAAAATGTTTTCCATTTGCTCTGCTCTCATCTCGCTTTCAATGCTTGTGCTATTGCTACAACTACAAATAACGGAACGCAAGTTTTTTGCTTTTGCTATTGCTCTTTGCTCCGATGTTCTAAGCTATGGAGCAGAGCAGAATAGCATTCGTTTTGTTTTTGTGCTCTCTGCTATGCTACGTAGCCGTTCGAAATCAGAGCAATAGCGAGAGCAGAGCAATATCTTGATTGAAATTGCTGCTATGTAGCAGCAAATGCAAACACTGTTATAAAATTTTTGTATTCATCAAAAGTATATACACAGTACATCTCAAAGCTCGGGTTCTAAAAGTGTTTAAATTAGAAGAAAATAAATTTATTCTTAATACTGCGTATGGTATACACGAGTATGAATATTTCAAGTCTCTAGCTCTTATAACTTCTGAGATCTAGGCGTTTATACGGACTATATCGACACAGCTCTTCGTCCTGATCAAGAATATATACAGTGGTTCACAGCTTATTTCAACCAGCACCTCAAAAAAAGTTTGTTGATCTATAAAATCTAAACTATTAGGGATATCGAAAATATTTAAACGCAAGTTTTTAGTGTGATGTTTGAAATAATACAAAATTAATTCATATATTTGTAAAATATTTTTTTAATATTTAAAGTTGCTTAAAAACTAAAAAATTAGACCGAAACAATTCCACAGCTTATTTCAACCACAAAATTTGCAGCTGATTAAAGTACGTTATTTCGCAGATGTAGATTCTTGGATTATGCTTTATTCAATGGTTTCGCAATGTGATGATATAAGCTTTTGTTGGATTTGGAGAGCTCAACTTGCAGAAAAGTGAATTTAGCAAAGTGCACGCACAACTATTGAGCAGCGGGAACTTGTTCTCAAACTCTATGATAATGACTATTCCCGTACAAAAATCGATGAGGTGGTTGTATCTAGTGATTCTACAGTTAAAAGCATCATATACCGATTTTTCCGTGAAAATAGAACCACAATATATGTAGAAATGCTCCGAACAAAATTTTGAAACCCACGGACGAGCGCTGAATTGTGAGAAAAATCCGAGACTACCCAAGGCTATCGGTACGACAAGTAGCCAATGATGTCAAGGAGGAGTTGGCAAGTCATGCCACCCAGAAACTATTCGCCGTATGCTTCGGGAACATGACTTTAATAACAGAGTACCACGCAAGAAGCCTTTTATAAGCGATAAAATAAAGAAGTGTCGCCAAAAATTTGCCGAGGAGCACTTGCACAAGGACATTGGATTCTGGAACACTGTCATAGTTTGCGATGAGTCCAAATTCAATTTATTTGGCTCGAAAGGGCCCTCATATTGTTGGCGTAAGCCTAACACAGAGCTTGACGCAATTAATTTGAGGGCTGTAGTAAAGCATGGCGTTGGGAACTTGGAGTTTATAGAGATAAAGGCAAATATTTTGATATTGTGAAGTCCAATTTAATTCAAAGTGCTCAGAAACTGGACATAAAGGATGACTTCAGATTTTACCAAGATAATGACCCGAAATGCACTGCGGAAATTTTCCAGATTTGGCTGATCTGGAAATGTTTCAACATTATGAAACCACTAGCCCTGTCATCAGAAATAAATGTAATCGAAAATTGGTAGTCGATTTTGGAAATAAACATTCGCAAACACAAAATATCAAACAAATCGGACCCAAAATCTGCATTGGTTTAGGAATGGGATAAAATGATTGCAGAAGTCACTAAAAAGTTGGTGGAATCTATCCCAAAATGATTTAAAATGGTAGTTAACCAAAATGGTAGTCACAACAACTTGCGTTTAAATTTTTTCGATATCCCCAATAGTTTAGATTTTATAGATCAACAAACATTTTTTGAGGTGCTGGTTGAAATAAGCTGTGAGCCACTGTATAGTTTAGGGGTCTGTGATCATTGCTTCTGCCTGTTACATACTTTTCACAAAACAATTATACCCTGAAACCATTGAAAATGGGAAATAGGCAGGAAATATGTAACAGGCAGAAGCAATGATCACAGAACTCTAAAGTATATATATTCTTGATCAGGACGAACAGTATTTATTCCGGGCTTCATGGAATTACATATCCTTCAAACCCGCTTAAGTATTCTAACCTTTTTAAATACTTTAATTTATTATTATTATTATTATTAATATTATATGTATATACATAAATATATATATATATATATATTTTTTTTTTTTGTATATTTCAGCCTTTTCCAAATGATGGCTTTCCCTCTGTTATCTGCTACGACTGCCAAATAAAACTTGAATCGTTTTGGAAGTTTCGAAATATGGCACATAATTCTCACTTTGCATTAAAGGAATTTTTGGCATTATCAAAATCGAGCGATATTGTAAGTGTTTGCGTTGCGATTTTGTAAATATTTGTATTTCTTTCTTTACTTTCTTATGTATATGCATTTGCTGTCCATAGTAATTGAAATCTTTTTTTTGCGAATTTGATATAAAATCTTTAAGTGCATAATATTGTAAGGACCGGATAACATATTTAAAATGATATTGAAATGGGGATAGAATGATTATATTAACACATATTAAATTTGATCGGGTTACGACCGGATTGCGCTTGAACGTGCTTGTTGTCCGAGGTTTTCCGAATGGAATGGGAGATGTAGAGGCACTGCTTTTAATTAAACGCGAAGCAGATACACTCAGCTGCGTTCGACCCGAACGATCACACATAGATGCCAACTCGAAGTTAGATGATGGTAATTTCTGATGTGGAGACAGAAAATCACTCAAACAACAGAGTAATGCAGTTGACAAGAATAAGGAAGTTGTCAACTGAACGTAGAACAACTTGAACAAGTAAGAAAGCTCTAGTCGAGACTGTTCGACTACGAGATCCCCTGAACGCTTTGAGCAACTGCTATTTCAATAATTATTCGCATATGGACACACACACGCACACATACAGACATACGCACGCACGCATACACACGCATTGGCTGTAGAGGTGGCTTACTATGGGAAATTAATTGCTTAAAAACTTTTCTTGTGGTTGGACTTCTGATTGATTCTGAATATAAAATAGATATGCATGTATTTTCCAAAGCACAAAGTCTCTAGTATTTGAAATACGCATTTTACAAATGTGATGTTGAGGGGGTAAATTATAGGTGAGGGGTAAATTTTGACAAAAATCGAAATTCTATAAAGCACATATGAATCTACATTAAAAATTTAGGGTATCTAGTTTTAAAGATGTAGCAGATCTAAACTTATCACTGGTTTCGATAATTATTTTAATCGATAACAAAACAAAGCGACAATTATCGATATTTGAAGCAAAACTCGATATGCGCGTGGTATACACGAACCTAGGTAAAAGGCGTAATCAGTCATTTTCATCGGTAGTCAATCACTTTGTTGGTCCTCCTTTAGACTGAATACCCGTCTGCAAACGTCTTCTCGTGCTAATCATTGGCCTTGACGTTTCATAAGTGGTGGTATTGGGGTGATTGACTACCGATGAAAATGACTGATTACGCCTATTGTGCCAATACTTTTTTGACGAAAATTTGGGCCTATATTTATATTTTAGTTCTGCGCAAGTGAACCAAACTAGAAATTTAATTTTTTTTGTTAAATATTATTAGAAAACATGGTTTTAACTAATACCGTTTTTCATTTATTTATAGTTTGATTTATCAAGTGTGCCAATACTTTTTTGGCCCACTGTACAATCTGTCAAATAAGTACCCGGAAATTTCAAATAAAACACAAACAAAAACAAAATAGGCCCCTTCTGGACAATACACTTCTTCCAACGGGAAATCTAATCATCGAAACACTATTTAAAGCTATATTCCGGGATGGCCTTCAGTTCTCGTTGTGAATTAGTTTTCATGTCTTTAATGCTCTCAAAACGGGATCCACAAAGTAGTAATTTGAGTTTTTGAAACAGGAAAAATTCACACGGGGCCATATCTGGAGAGTACGGTGGTTGTTCGATGATATTTGTTAAATTCTTGTTCAAAAACTCGTTCATAATGTTCGCTTTGTGCGCTGGTGCATTACCGTGGTGCAAAATTAGACTGATATTCTGCCACAAATTTGGTCTTTTGCGACGAAGATTCTTGCTCAAACGCCTCATAACGCCAAGATAATATTTGGCCCTTCAGTAAGAATAAACAACACCACGAATTCTTCAGTTGAAGAAGTCGAAGGTTGTCCTGAACGTGGTAAATCGTTCACTTCTCCTCGCCCTTTGAACGATTTATACCTAAAGTTTTTGACGTGGTTGAATCACCAAATGTTTTTTTTTTTTTCAACATTTCCAACGGGAACTTCTTTGACAGAATGTACGGTTAGGGCTGAATTTTAACGAAAATTGAAATTAATAGAATATATATAAGTCTATATTTAAAATATAGGGACTCTAGCTGAGCCGGTGTTGCAGCTTGGAGCTTGATATTGTGAAGTCCAATTTAATTCAAATTGAAACTGGGCATAAAGGATGACTTCAGATTTGACCAAGATGATGTCTCGAAACGCACTGCGGAAATTATCCAGAAATGGCTGATATGGAAATGTTCCAGCCCAGTCATCAGAAATAAATGTAATCGAAAATTTGTAGTCGATTTTGGAAATAAACATTCGCAAATACAATGCAGTGGTGGCTTACTATGTGAACTTAATTGTTCAATAACTGTTTTTGTGAATGTACTTTCTTCATGAAACTTTCAGATTATGATTATAACATGGATATGCATTTGCCAAAACACAAGTCTCTAGTATTTGAAATACGCCTTTTACTGGGTGATAAATTACAACAAAAATCGATATTGTATACAATATATCTAAAATTTGGAAGCTCTAGCTCTAAAGGTGTAGGAGATATAATTAAATAACGCAATTTCGATACGATTTTTAATCGATAATAAAATATTGGGAGTAGTTATCGATATTTAGAGAAAAACTCGATATGTGCGTGATATACACGGACCTAGGAAAAAACAAGTAAGAGCGTTGCAGTTGCTACACCCCTACTGGGCGTAGACACCTAATATTAGGTCTGTTCTTAGAACGAGATAACGGTACCCTAACTGCAAAGTTTGAATGCTTACCCTTAAAAAAATGTGAAAATTACAGGGTATTTTTCTAAATGCCACGCCCCTAAAGAGGCGTAAACATTATTTTTGGGTCATCGATAGAGGAGGTTACTGGTAACTTAACTATATAAACTTGAAGCTACTAGCCATTAGGAGATATAAACTTTTGCTGTTTGTTTTTTGGTTTTGGGCCCGTGTATATATACAAAATTTGAGGTCTCTAGCATCAATAGTTTCCAAAATATAGCAGAATTAAAAAAATCACTATATCTTCAGGACCGATTTGCCCGCCCCTAATGGGCGTATACATATAATTATACACTGAACCCATCAATCAGGGTATAATGGTATGTAACAGGCAGAAGGAGGCGTGGCAGACCCCATAAAGTATATATATTCTTGATCAGGACGAAGAGCTGAGTCCATATAGCCCTGTCCGTCCGTCCGTCCGTCCGTATGTATGAACGCGTCGATCTAAGAAGATATAAGAGCTAGAGACTTGAAATTTTTGTTCCTAAGTCCGAGCTATGCTTTAAATATTGATAACTTGCCCCGTTATTATGTTATCGACTAAAAACACTAATAAAAACAGTAATAAATTGATATCTCTTACATCTTTAAAGCTAGAGTCTCAAAATTTTATATGTATACTTATATGCATTTTATAAAATTTCGGTTTTTGTCAAAATTTACTCCCCACCCCTAATTCACCCCCTCACCCTCACATTTGTAAAAAGCGTATTTCAAATACTAGGGGCTTGTGCTTTGACAAATACATGTAAATCTATGTTATATTTATAATCTGAAGATAGTCCATCCACAAGAAAAGTTATTAAACAAGTAACTTCCCATAGTAAGCCACCACTGACCCAATGCGTGTTTATGCGTGCATGCTTATGGCTGTGTGCGTGTGTGTGCGAATAATTATTAAAATATCAGTTGTTCGAAGGGTTCAGGGGATCTCTTAGACGGCAGTCCCGACTAGGGCTTTCTTACTTGTTTTATCTTTGGACTTTATAGAATCATAACATTAGCTGATGTGCAAAATTTCAGCGCTCTAGCTGTAAAACTCTTGGAGATAAAGTTTTATCCGATTTGCCACGCCCCCAATGGTCGTAGATATATCCGCCATAGTGGGCCCTAGTGGGCGGATCATCAACACTAACGACCTGCGCTAAAATTTGTTCGATATCCCCAATTGTTTAGATTTTATAGATCATCAAATTATTTCGAGGTGCTGGTTGCCAGGCGGGAGCCTTTCTGGCAGCGGTGAGGAGATGGGAATCCGATGATCAGCCCTCGGTACCGCTGCGAGCACCTTGTTTTCGTCGCCACCGTAGAATTCCCGCGGCCTCTCATCCCTCCGGCTACCAGCCGCACCACTCGCTGTGGGTACGCTCAGCTTCAGCGACGCTGCCGAGAGGGGGTCGCGTTCCTGAACTTTCCGTAGGTCCGGCTCTGACTTCTGATAGCCACGCAGCCACGCTGCCCAAGCTCGTCGCTGCGCCTCTCAACGAGAATCCTGACTCTTTTGCGAAACGCGCCTTCCACTGAGCTAGCCGCCCCTTGATTTCCGCCGAATAATTGCCGCCCTGAATGAACGAGGACAAAGTCTTCCTCAGGTCGTCGACACGGCCTTCGTCGTCGAACCCAAGATCCCGAGCTATCGATATTAGCTCATCCTGGTAAACCCAGCCGACGCTTAATCCCTGATTTTGGGATACTCCACCCTCCATCGTTGATATCTGGATCGTCTATTTTTCGCTCCGCTTACACTAGTCTTACAATATTACTCTGGTTTATTCTACTTGTATCCACTTATTCTACGTTTCGCTTTATTTCATTCGCTTAGTCTAGTTTTCATTTCTTTGCTCTTTTCTTTCGTTGTTTATACCCTGAACCCATTGAAAATGGTAAATCAGGGTATAATGGTTTTGTCAAAAGTATGTAACAGGCAGAAGGAGGCGTGGCAGACCCCACAAAGTATATATATTCTTGATCAGGACGACGAGCTGAGCTCATTTAGCTCTGTCCAGCTGTCTGTCCGTCCGTCTGTCAGTATGTTTAAACGCGTCGATTTCAGAAGATACAAGAGCTAGAGACTTCCATTTTTATACCCTGAACCCATTTTCAATGGCAGCAGGAGGCGTGACAGACCCCATAAAGTATATATATTCTTGATCAGGGCGACGAGCTGAGTCGCTATAGCCCTGTCCATTTGTCCGTACGTCCGTCTGTCCGTATGTTTGAACGCGTCGATCTCAGAAGATAGAAAAGCTAGAGACTTTCCTGGGTTCGTGCATATCACGCGCATATCGAATTTTTCTATAAATATCGATAACTTCTCCCGATATTTGATTATCGATTAAAAACCTTATCGAAAGATAGTTTTTTAATTATACATCTCACACCGTTAGAGCTAGAGCTTTCAAATTTTAAATGTAGACATATATGTATTTTATACAATTTCAATTTTTTTTTACCCCCGAACACTAAATTCACCCCCTCACCATCATCTTTGTAAAAGTTGTATTTCAATTACAAATGCATGCATATCTATGTTATAATCATAATCTGATTCATGAAGAAATAATAAGTTTCATGAAGAAACTGCAGCCAATGCGTGTTTATGCATGCGTACGTATGTCTGTGTGTGTAGTCTCGACTAGAGCTTTCTTACTTGATTTCTCTTCTTTTTCTTCGCTAGATGAGAAGCAATAAACTTCGCTGTTTATTGACTCCCTTTTTTCGAAAAAAAAAAAAAAAAATAAAAATAAATAAATAAATAAACTGCTCTATTGCTCACCCGTGTCTCCTCTCCACGGCTTGAGATCGGTCACATGCGCCGTCCTGATCCGCTTGTCGGCCTCCGACCTGATCCTGGCCACTATATATTGGCTTCCACTCGATTCAGCCTCTGCCCAGCTGCATGCGGCTGACGGGTCTTGCAGCTCTGACACAGCTCGCAACGCTGCACGTACGCCCGCTCACCTCGATACATAGCGGGCCAGTAGTATCGTGCGGCTACCCTAGCAATTTTTTTTCGACTCCCAAGGTGGCCAGCGGCGACTGCATCGTGGCTCTTCCAGTAGTTGCTTGCGCCGCTACGTTGGCACACACAGCTTCCACGCCGCCACACTTTTTGTGGCCTGCTTGATATAAGTTTCCAGACTCTTCGTGATAGTCTGGCCACTTTTGTGGTGCCTTGCGTAGATCCTGGCGCAGGTTAATGAGCTGGCGTCTCCTTACTAGCGACCAAGCGGCTCGCCTCTTTCTCCAGAAGCTGCCGTGAGAGTGCATCTGCTACCACATTTCGCCTGCGTCGAAGATACCATTGCTTTTTGGTCCAGTTGGTGCCCTTCACCTCCTTATCCACATGAAGCGGTTCTTGACTATCCGTAGTCACCTCCAATGGCGTCTTGAGACCCGCTTCCATGCTTACAGCAACTATCGATAACTTCGCTTCCAGTTGGCGGCTGGGTTTGGGATCTCTTGGCCTAATTTTCAGCGACAAACCGCCACACTCCAGTGTGGTGCCTATACTAGCCAAGAAAACCCAGCCTAGCACCAAATCATCGATCACTCCTGGATCAGCAACGGTATCTGGATTTGCTGATTTCCCAGGCTGATCGTCGTCTCTAGCTGCGAGTCCACCTGACTGCAACTGCCGTCCGCTAAGCGTATGCGCCGCCGTGTGGCAGGCGCCACTCCAGTGAGCCTCTCGCTGATGAAGCTCCTCGAGGGTCTCGTATCAATCGTGGCCTTCTGCTGTGAATCTCCAATGGCCACGATCGCCGTCAGCCGGCTGCCTTCGTCCTGAAGACTGCCCATTAATACCTGGGGGGTTCCTGGCTGCTGCTCCCGCTCACCCCTGGATGGCGGGTGCCGCTGCTCGTTTCCCGACTGACAGCAGCTAGCAGTTCGCACTCCGATGCGCCCACACTGCCAGCAGAAGTCCAGCGCCCTGTTGCGGCACGCAAAAGCCTGGCCGTGGCTGCTGCCGCAGTCTCACCCGATCTTTTTCCAACTCCTCGAACTCGTCTGCCAGGTGCATTAATTCCACCAGACTATGGAATTGATACGGGCGGGCGTAGGCACGCAGATCGGGCAGGCTGTTGTTGTAGATGAGCTTCATCTCGCGGTCTGCTCCAAAGCGCAGGGGCCGCATGAGAGTCTGCATCTCAACCATGTAGACCTTCAAGCTCTCATCTACGATTTGCCTCCGGCGTTTGACGTCATCCTCCAGCTTCTCCAGATAGCCTCTGGGCAAGAAGAATTCCTGGAAGCTGCGCACAAACGTCGCCCACGCCGTCCACTAAGGACAGCGGCTCTGGCATCGCCCTCGGGATCATATCCAGATCCAGGCCATATGTGTCAGCCGACCACTCCGCCTGGTCCATGAACTCCAATAGCTTTGTGGTGCTATCAAAGCAGAAGCTCCACTCTCACACTTGTTTGGCCACCTTTGGATATTCTTGGGCTGTGCTGCCGAGTCCTCTTGGCCTTATTTCAAGTTGCGGGGTGGATGTGGCTCTCATCTCACCCTGTCGCATGTTC